CTTTAAAAGGAATTGTTCTACTCCAGAAACTTTTTTAGTGACACAAACTTATGTTGAATTAGTTGTGATTTAATGATATTATTCATTGGAAAACTAGAGCAAAATACGTCACAGCAGGAGGATGTCCTTGCTGCACCAAGTTTTGGCAATTGGCATCCATCCTGCGCATTGACTATGTCACCTGGGGCATGCCAACAGCAGAGACCCACCAGAACATCTCTTAGCAATAAACTGCAAGACCTAGTATGTTTCGCAGGGACTCATTGCATGTCACTACATGGCATGCCATTCTGACACATGTTGTTATCACATCCTCCCTTTCCCTCCTTTTTAGTTCTTTGAAAACAAGAACACCAAGAGTAGGAACAAGAAGGCTGCGCTCTACAGCTTCGCCGGCACTCAGCGAAACAGATGCAGCACTTTCCGGGTTAAAAGAAATCACACCGTTTACTGGCAAGAAGGGCTGTTTGTCACTTTCGATGGAGGTTTCTTGAGGTGGGAATGGTTGGCTCCTTCGGGGATCGCCTGGGACACTTTGCCTAAGAACCAAAGTCAAAGAAAACTTTTAACTGTCCACATTCATGATAGGAAACTCTGGGAAACCATTTTTAACTTTATTCATTTTCCCCTTATAAATGAAGATGTGGGCTAGTTTTTCTTACAAATCTGGGAAATTCCCATGGCTCGTATCCATTCTGTCAATGTAGCTGTGTGCCGTTACACCCAGACGCTTTTATAAAAACAAAACTATGATGTGCTGTTCCTTATGTCTGGGTGAACTGCCGGTGCTTTTCTTGAGAAGATTGAGATTCTCAGCAACTGAGTCTATTACAAGTTCTGAACATCAAAAAGGATATTTATTTCTCAAAGTTGCAAACAGAACAGTCGATTGATAAACCAAATAGATATTTCTTCTTTCTCTTCTCCACCAGTTACTGAGTCAGCCTTTCCCCAAGTGGCAAAGGGATCCAGGGATCCTTCGCCCTAATCGAGAGCTGTTGTCTTTTAGAAAGAACAAATCTTTCCCTATCTATGTAAGCTCCAGATTAGCCTTGGAGATAAGGCAATGCAGTCTCTCTCTCTATAAGACTCTATAAAACTCAATTCTCAAAAGGTTCTTGTAGGTTTTTTCGGGCTATAGGGCCATGTTCTAGAGGCATTTCTCCTGACGTTTCGCCTGCATCTATGGCAAGCATCCTCATCACTACCTCTGAGGATGCTTGCCATAGATGCAGGCGAAATGTCAGGAGAAATGCCTCTAGAACATGGCCCTATAGCCCGAAAAAGCCTACAAGAACCTAGTGATTCCAGCCATGAAAGCCTTCGACAATACATTCAATTCTCAAAGCTCAATATCTATTTTTCTTTATACTCTATAACTCTCTTATAATCTATCTAACTATAGCTCAATTCTTCTCAATAAACTTCTCTGTCTATCTTAATTTCTCAATTGTTCTCAATTCTCTATTCTCAATTCTATAACTCAATTGTTTTTACAGTGGTTTGTCGGAGCTACCTTTCTGGCCACCAGCACATCAGATTCCTTCTTCAGAACTGAACAGGCAGGGAGGACTCCAAAATGGAAGTCTTTCCCCGGGAGCAGGGGCGGGCTCAAAGAGCTGCTCCCTAGGCCAATCATTGCAAAGAGTTTGCAGACTGGCTTTTCCCGCCTTTGGCTGTTAAACTCCTGGCTTTGCAAGGCTGCAGCAGCTCCTGAGAGAAAGGCAAGGGGCAGCCACTCCAAGCAACTAAAAAAGCAATGCAAACCAGTCTCCTGGGAGATGGAACAAGTTGGCCACCCATGGTTTGGCATTAGTATTACGCTGCTAACTGTGACTCCATCTGAGCTCAATGGGAACTCCAACTGAAATCATAGAGGTTTACTTCTATGTAACTGCACGAAACTGCAGATTAGGAAGATCAGGAGAAATGTTGACCCACAGATCCTTAACTCCAACTGTAGCCTTTTAATGTTATTGCATAGACTGCAATAACTTTTGCTACAAGGAGAAAAAGGAGAAATAATCAGTTGCAAATTGCTCTCCGTGCCCACCTAGGCAGGCTTAGATTCTTGGGTGTTATTTTTAATTGTTTTCTCGAGAAAGGACGGTGGTATGTGCATTCGTCTGTGTGGGTCGTTGATAGTGGAAGGCATGCTTGTGATACGCATTCAGGGGCGGCTCAACCCATTACGGAAAGTAAGCATTTGCAGTATAGTTGATTTTGCCCAGGGGCGCTCTTGAGGTGCTCTTGGGGGAAAATAGACCTTGACATATGTGAGTTGTAGTTACTGGGATGTATAGTTCACCTACAATCAAAGAGCATTCTGAACTCCACCAATGATGGAATTGAACCAAATATGGCACACAGTACTCCCACGACGAACAGAAAATATATATCAGTGATTGGTTGGGGGGGGGGGCAAAATGCTATTTGCTTACTGTTGAAAATAACCTAGAGCCACCTCTGTATGCATTTCCAAGTTAAGTGGGTATTCAATCTATTGCTCCTCTAGCCTGATCTTTCGAGATGTATCGGATTCAAACTCCCAGAATCTTAAAGGGGATTCCGAGTCCTGTATAAAAGGCCCTGGTTGGTTGGGTGGAGCATGGCTGCTCTTAATAAATGAGGAAGATGGAACCCACGCAGTGACCATCATCAGCAGGCAAAAGGTGCATCAGGCTCCACTGTTAGATGTTCAGACAGCTTGTGTTTGAACAGCAGGGATTTCTCCCTCTGACTTCCTTTGAACAGGAGCAACAACAAAAAGGCATTCTTCCCAAACAACATGTTGGGCCTGTTTATTTAGAAGATAGTACCATAATACCAGCATTTTGTTCTTTGCTTCTCAGTATATCTCTACACCACTATTTTGCACCTGGCACTGACTAATGAATCCAGGGTTGTTGCTGTTGTCATTGCTAGTGGTGATATTTGGGTCCTGTCTATCTTCTACAGATCTTAAGCCTCCTCTTCTTTTTAGCCCTCATAACAACTTTGTAAAGTAGAAGGCTTTCATAGCCGGAATTACTTGGGTTGTGGGTTTTTTCGGGCTATATGGCCATGTTCTAGAGGCATTCTCTCCTGACGTTTCGCCTGCATCTATGGCAAGCATCCTCAGAGGTAGTGAGGTCTGTTGGAACTAGGAAAATGGATTTATATATCTGTGGAAAGACCAGGGTGGGGCAAAGGACTCTTGTCTGCTGGAGCTAGGTGTGAATGTTTCAACTGACCACCTTGATTAGCATTGCCTGGAGCAATCTTTTGTTGAGAGGTGATTAGATGTCCCTGATTGTTTTCCCTCTGCTGTTTTGCTGTTTAATTTTAGAGTTTTTTAATACTGGTAGCCAGATTTTGTTCATTTTCATGGTTTCCTCCTTTCTGTTGAAATTGTCCACATGCTTGTGGATTCCAATGGCTTCTCTGTGTAGTCTGACATGGTGGTTGTGAGAGTGGTCCAGCATTTCTGTGTTCTCAAATAATATGCTGTGTCCAGGTTGGTTCATCAGGTGCTCTGCTATGGCTGACTTCTCTGGTTGAAGTAGTCTGCAGTGCCTTTCATGTTCCTTGATTCGTGTTTGGGCAATGCTGCGTTTGGGGGTCCCTATGTAGACTTGTCCACAGCTGCATGGTATACGGTAGACTCCTGCAGAGGTGAGAGGATCCCTCTTGTCCTTTGCTGAACGTAGCATTTGTTGGATTTTCTTAGTGGGTCTGTAGATAGTTTGTATGTTGTGTTTCCTCATCAGCTTCCCTATGCGGTCCAACAAATCCAACAAATGCTACATTCAGCAAAGGACAAGAGGGATCCTCTCACTTCTGCAGGAGTTTACCGTATACCATGCAGCTGTGGACAAGTCTACATAGGGACCACCAAACGCAGCATTGCCCAAACACGAATCAAGGAACATGAAAGGCACTGCAGACTATTTCAACCAGAGAAGTCAGCCATAGCAGAGCACCTGATGAACCAACCTGGACACAGGATATTATTTGAGAACACAGAAATGCTGGACCACTCTCACAACCACCATGTCAGACTACACAGAGAAGCCATTGAAATCCACAAGCATGTGGACAATTTCAACAGAAAGGAGGAAACCATGAAAATGAACAAAATCTGGCTACCAGTATTTAAAAAACTCTAAAATTAAAACAGCAAAACAGCAGAGGGAAAACAATCAGGGACATCTAATCACCTCTCAACAAAAGATTGCTCCAGGCAATGCTAATCAAGGTGGTCAGTTGAAACATTCACACCTAGCTCCAACAGACAAGACCTGGTCTTTCTACAGATATATAAACCCATTTTCCTAGTTCCTACAGACCTCACTACCTCTGAGGATGCTTGCCATAGATGCAGGCGAAACATCAGAAGGGAGTGCGTCTAGAACATGGCCATATAGCCCGAAAAAACCCACAACAACCCTTTGTGAAGTAGGTTGGGCTGAAAGATAGAGGTTGGCCCAAAGTCACCAAGCAACCTCAATGGCCAAGTCGGAGTTTGCATTTGGGTCCTATTAACAAACCAGCATTAGGAGAAGTTGAAGCGAAACAGTCCCGATGGTCATTCTTCTGGCAATGTAGGAAGATGGTGGAAAGAGGGGAATGCATGAACCCAGTGGCTTCAGTCAGTCACCCACAATATAATGCACCATGGTCTAGCCTTGTATGCAAATCAATTCACAGCAGATGGACCGGTGGAGAGAGTAGGCCTCCGTGTTGCTGAAACACAGGCTGGCTGATTCCTCAAGGTGCTTCTTTGGGCTTCTCTCCTTGCAGCGTGGAGTCTTCTGATGTAAACTGGAAGAAGAAGAAAAGTGGCGGAATCAAGATTATCTGCCAATCGGATGCCAGGGATTTTTCCGCAATGGCTTTTATAACCGATCATGTCAATTCCCTGATAGATCAGTGGTTTCCCGGTAAGAATGGCTCCCACTTGTTTCTGCTTACAGCAATGGTGCAAAGAATGCTTTAGGTGTATCTGAAACCTTTGGCTTCTCCAATGGTATTTTGGACTATTGTCCTTTCTGCAATGCGTCATGTCAAAATGCTTCCCCCCAATTCGGTCCCGAAGATTCTTGAATGCCAGGTATGTGCGTTATCAGGTTGCGGTGGGGAGGAGGGTGCACAGTACGATTTATTGTCGAAGGCTTTCATGGCCGGAATCACTGGGTTGTTGTAGGTTTTTCCGGGTTATATGGCCATGTTCTAGAGGCATTTTCTCCTGACGTTTCGCCTGCATCTATGGCAAGCATCCTCAGAGGTAGTGAGGTCTGTTGGAAGTAGGAAAATGGGTTTATATATCTGTGGAATGACCAGGGTGAGACAAAGAACTCTTGTCTGCTGGAGCTAGGTGTGAATGTTTCAACTGACCACTTTAACTAGCATTTGATGGCTTGACAGAAAGTAGGAAACCATGAAAATGAACAAAATCTGGCTACCAATATTAAAAAAACTCTAAAATTACAACAGCAAAACAACAGAGAGTAAACAATCAGGCACATCTAATCACCTCTCAACAAAAGATTCCCCCAGGCACTGCCAAGCCATCAAATGCTAATTAAGGTGGTCATTTGAAACATTCACACCTAGCTCCAGCAGACAAGAATCCTTTGTCTCACCCTGGTCATTCCACAGATATAGTTCCAACAGACCTCACTACTTCTGAGGATGCTTGCCATAGATGCAGGCGAAACGTCAGGAGAAAATGCTTCTAGAACATGGCCATATAACCCGGAAAAACCCACAACAACCCACAGTACGATTTCTTGTGTGCCATTGGCTTGATCTAAATGGTTGTAATGGTGAGGTATTATAACACAGGCCGAGTTTCCCTCATCCAAAACACTTGGGACCAGGCATGTTTCAGACTTTAGTATGCTTGTGTTTGAGTCATAATGAGACATTGTGGAGATGAAACCCAAGAATAAATATGAGGCATTGCAGGTCGTTGGTCCCTCTTTGATCACAGGCCAATTTCGTTGCAAACCTCAAGCAACACACCTCCAATGCTGTGGTCCATCCGCACTGAAATGAGTTTGACACCCCTGACCTACAAAATTACCACAGCATGTGGTTATATCTTGTCTTAGCAGACAGGTTATTTTAATCAATTACATAGAACCTTCGACGAACAGCATCACAGCACAAGGAGAAAAATATACACTGTACATGACTTCCTTATATACAATTCTATACAATTACACATAGCAATCTTTGGTTCCCAACTCATTAACTTAACTCAGACCCAGGATTACATCATTCACAATCATCTGGACTAGGCCAGAACACATTCCCCAAATGAAGTTCTATATACAGTTAATGCATGACTCAGCATTTCCAATAGAAGCCTATTAGCAGTGCATGACTCAGCTATATTACATTACAATACATTGTAAAACCTGACAGTTTCAAACCATACCCTAAACAGAACTAGCTAGTCGGTGGAGTGGCTAATTTCCTAGAGATTTGATTCTCAACCTGAATGAAGCTGTCCAACATGTGAGGCTGTCTCACCAGAATCCATCATCTTGGATAGTCTTTAAATGTGAAAGTTAAGTCCACAGAGGATTCACTCATGTGGGAGACACAATCAACAAAGTCAACTTCTTGGGACTAAAGCTGTTCTCCAGATTGCAATGGATATTATTTGTAATGAGAAAGATTGGTAAAATCTGCATCATATATATATATATATATATTCATATTCATATATTCATTCAACTGGCTGCCAGGTCAAGATCATCGTAATGGCAATGAATGCTCTCCAGACAGCAGTGTTCAACATGTCCAATGCAGAAAAGCACGCTGTAGTGAAACTTACCTAGTAGGCCAGAAAGGAAGCCTGGATAACAGTARGGCAATCCTCCATTTTGAGAGTGTAAGCCAGGGAAGCAGCCATCTTGAGTGTGGATAGTTAGAAGATGGGAGGAGTTTGAGGTCTCCTGGGATTGGCTAGAAGAGAGGGGAGGAGCCAAGTCGGAGAAGGGAAAAGATTTCAGCTTCTGTGGAGTTGAGAACTGGGAGCTGGTGGGAGAAGAAGTGTTTTTGAAACTGTGTTTTCAGGGAGAGAGTGTCTGTGGCAGGCAGGGCTGATTAGCTGACAGGAAAGGTCAGGCAGCAACTGATTTCTTGTGGGAGATAGCACAGGAGATTAGCTCTCTAGGCTGAGTTAGTTAGCAGGAAGAACTCTGGGAAGAGTTAGCTGATGACTCAGGGGACTACCTAGGATAGGTTAGTCAGAAACTCATTACTATTTCTCTGAAGTAGAGTGAGGGATTTTTGTTACAAGCAGCTAGATCTGTTTGATTAGCTCTGTATGTAACTAAGTGAAGAAACTTATTCTAGCAACTATCAAGCTATAGTACTTTTGTAACAAGTCAAGCGTTTTGTGCCTCTCAGAAGTAGTTTGTTGTCTGTTTTTATAAATAAAATCTTTTTCTATTTAACTTTAAAAAAAGGTCTCTATCGTTCCTCAATCTATCGATAATCCTTTGTGATATTTCCAGCAGTTTTAACATCCTGATACAACAGAAAGGCCTCTTATCAAATAGTCATTCTGGAGCTAAGGGAAAAACTGTGTTGGCAGGAGTGGGAAGAATTTACCTCAAAAACTCATTTTAAAAATCCTAAAGCAACTTGGGTTGGTGGCAGCTTTAAACCAAAAGAAGACTAAAAGACAAGCAGTGTTCACTCTACCATTACACATATCTATCTAACATCAACTCGCTACCATACTATTGTCCAGTGGTGTGATATTACATATAATCCTTTCCAGTGGTGTTCAGCTGTGGGATATATATATATAGGGATATTTGGTGTTAGATTATATAGATTATATGGTGATCCTTTATACTGGTGGAAAGTGGCGTGATCTATAACAATGTTATTGGCGTATTCCTTTATGCGTGCTCTTGTTTCCCTGGTTTAGTCCTTAGATTTCTCCAAGAGCCAGGCAACTGGTTCAGGGTGTTTTGGTCTCGTTTGGGGCCCTGTTTGCCCTGTGATGGCTTGATATTCCCTTGATGCTCCTCAATCTTTACGCAGCCCTGACGGCCACGGAGAGCGATGGGAGTTTACTGATGGAGCAATACGTCCCTTGCCCGGTCTGTTCAACTCCTAAAGCCAAAGGCGGGAAAGGCAGCCCGGACATGGAAGGCACGCAGTACTTCAACATGGAGGATTGCGTTCTGGCCGCCATCGAGTCAGACACCATTGTTTGCGATTGCCACCCAGATATCCCTGTGCCTTTGCAGGAGTTGGTTCCCGAGCTTTTCATGACCGATTTCCCAGCCAGGTGAGATGAAATTCCCTTGGCGTTTGCCACCCTGCATGTAGTTACATCTAATTGCTATATCCATTAGAATTGCAATTTTCTATGGTAATGCTTCTTCCACTTTCTCCAGTTTCTTTATTCATGTATGGAATGTGTTCAGATGTATGTGTGTATAACAGCAACAATTTTATTTTTTACCCAACTCTCCCTGTGACTTGAAAAGGCTTACAACATAGTTGAAAACACATAATCATTGTAAGCATTCTATAAAAT